ATGGACGGGCTCAACCCCAAGTCCCCTCTGCCGCCTCAAGAGCACTGCACCGTGCAGATGGGAAGGGATCTGTGAGAAGGGGCTCACTCCGGAGAGGCATTTCCCAGGGGACAGCACCATGGGAGTCTTGCTTCCGAGACTGTCAGCAAACTTGGTACAGGCAGAGCCTGCACAGAAGCCAGGGGACAGTGAGGGGGAGGCCCTTTACCAGCCTGCCCATGCATCAGACCAGCACCCGCCGTGCCTACCACAGCACCCACCCGCAAACCACAGTCAGACCACAGTCAGCCACGGCACCCACCAACAAACCACAATCAGACCACAGTCAGACCACGGCACCCATCCACAGACCACACTCACACCAGGGACCCACCAGCAGACCACAGTCAGACCACAGCACCCGCCCCGCAGACCACAGTCAGACCACAGTCAGACCACGGCACCCATCCACAGACCACACTCACACCAGGGACCCACCAGCAGACCACAGTCAGACCACAGCACCCGCCCCGCAGACCACAGTCAGACCACAGTCAGACCACGGCACCCATCCACAGACCACACTCACACCAGGGACCCACCAGCAGACCACAGTCAGACCACAGCACCCGCCCCGCAGACCACAGTCAGAACACAGTCAGACCATGACACCCATCCACAGACCACAGTCACACCAGGCACCCACCAGCAGACCACAGTCAGACCACAGTCAGACCACAGCACCTGCCCACAGACCACAGCATCTGCCCCGCACACCACAGTCAGACCACAGTCAGACCACGGCACCCATCCACAGACCACACTCACACCAGGGACCCACCAGCAGACCACAGTCAGACCACAGTCAGACCACAGCACCCGCCCCGCAGACCACAGTCAGACCACAGTCAGACCATGGCACCCATCCACAGACCACAGTCACACCAGGCACCCACCAGCAGACCACAGTCAGACCACAGTCAGACCACAGCACCCGCCCCGCAGACCACAGTCAGACCACAGTCAGACCATGGCACCCACCCACAGACCACAGTCACACCAGGCACCCACCAGCAGACCACAGTCAGACCACAGTCAGGCCACAGCACCTGCCCACAGACCACAGCATTTGCCCCGCAGACCACAATCAGACCACAGCACGTGCCATGTGGCCTGACCACGCTTCCTTTGGCAGCTGCTCCAGCCCTGCAACCCTGAAATGTTCCAAGCTTCCCCTGGAGCTGCTGGCAGTGTCTCACATGGGCTTGTTGTGGTGCAGGTCCCATTCATGAGGGAATGGTCCAGCCTGGGTCACTGAGCTGCCCCCCCCACCATGGGGCAGTGGGCTCTTGTGTGTTTCATGCAGAACAGACACGTCCATCCGTCCGTTCACCTCTGGAAGCTGCAGAGTGCTCAGAGTCAGCCAGAGTCCGCTGGGACTCACTGTGCCCATCGTCCAGCCTCCCTGGCAGTGGCGGTCAGCTCCTCTGGAGAAGCCCCCTGGCCTGCCCCACCTCCAAGCCCAGGTCACTGAGGAGACCGGTGCCACCTCTGGCCAGCTCCAGGTCTGCAGAAATTCCCCCATGGAAGAGGCCAGAAAGACAGGACAGGGGATGGCCATTGGCCTTGCCTGTGTCCAGCCCCAGGTCCATCCTAGCACCAGGTAGAGTCCCCTGGGCCCCACCAGGAGGACCCCAGCGCACTGAGCACTGCCAGGTGTGCCCCCAGAATGAAACATTATAATTCTCCTTCGAAAAATCTCTATAAAGGCGGCACCACTGACTGAGGCTCGTGAAACCGCCCGGCTAAGAATCATGTTAGTGAGGAACGGTGCCCTGCTTCCAGGGGCGAAGGGAGAGAAGGGGGCGCAGAGGGGGCTCGGGTCCAGGAATCCCAGACGCAACCCTGGGGCTGCGCACGGGACCCCGTTCCATCACCCCCGACCCCTACCCAGCACCACCCAGAGCCGCCCCGAGAGACCTGCCAGGGATAGGCCTGGTGGTCCCGGCACCCACTGCAGCGTCAGACCCCAGCACGGACTGCTGGGCAGGGCATCTGAGGATCGCCTGGAGAGGCCCCCGGGCCCCGTAGGAGCCCCCAGATGCAGCAGCCTTTATCCTCGGAAGGCTAGAGTCTGAAATCCAAAGGCCTCTGCCTGAACAGAGCGAGTCGGGATGGATCTAGTGTCAGGACATCGAGTCTGATTGCTGACGTGCTTACACAGTAATTTATGAGTGAATGAGTGACCCTTGGGGTTGATCGGATCTTGTTTTCCTGCTGGGAGCCCCCCCCCCCTCGGGCAGTGCTCAGGAATCGCTCCTGGGGTGCTCTGGAAACTCAGGCCGTGCAGGATCGACATGCTTCTCTCCCAGTAAGACCCCCTTCCCCGGGCTGTGCGCCCACCCTCTCCCCCAGACCCACCACGAGCGGCAGAGTGGGGGGCCGTGGCCCCCTTGGTGACTGCTGCCGAATCACGTCCGGTGGGCATGGCAGTTCCCCGCGGGAAGGCCGGCTGCCAGCAAGAGGGACAATAGCCACCGAGACGCCTCCAGACGGAAGTCAAGGCGCAAACAGGTTCTCCTTGATCTTGATGAATTGAAACCAAAGGAGGGGAGACAGCCTGGTCTGCACACAGCAGCTGTTTATTTGTGTACAGTGTTTTTATTCAAATGTAAGGAAATTAATCAAGTGACCGGCGTCTCAGCACACGCGTCCAGGGCAAGCCGGCAGTTGGCGCAAACCAAGTGGCTAATGAGGTCCTGAGCTCGTCTCCCCGCGCCGGGCCCAGCCACCCTCCCCGGGGCGCTGCCTCACTCACTTTGCATCGATTCTGGCAGTCAGAACGGGAGCAGGACTCGGTGCCCGGTGCGGAGTCAATGAATCAGCCGCTGTCACTCGGCCACTGTGCCCGCGTGGTCCTTGCGTGGTCTTCCTCCTAACCTCACCGCATTCACCAAACTCAGACCTGCTCAAGGCCCCTTGGGGCAGCCAGGGGCAGTGGGAAGGGTGAGCCGGAGGCCAGGCCGAGGCGTCAGGCCAGCTGCCGTTCCTCCCTGCTGACGGTCACCCCCAAGCTTGGTCCTGGATCCACTCTAAGCAGCCAAGCTGTGAGCACCGCAGGCCCCGGCTCTCACGGCAGCCCTGTTGGTGCTGGGCACTGCGACTCATGCTAGGAGGCCAGCGGGGGACGTGCCAGCCTCACCGTAGGGCAGCACCTTCATGCCACAGGTGGCAGCTGCCTCTGTCCCCCCTCTGCAGCCCGGAGATGTCCACTGACATCTCAGGGCACAATGCTGTCATCCTCTCTGCAGCCCAGAGGTGTCCACTGGCATCTCAGGGCACAATCCTGCCCTCCCTGACCTTGGTCTCTGGACGGCTTGTGACCAGGGGGCAAGTTCTCAGCCCAGTGTGGGCATCGCTGGTCTCCCCCAGGGCTGGGTCCCTCTTTGGGGGGGGGGGCACAGAGAACCACCTGAGAAGCACGCGGTGACCAGGAAAACGAGGGTCCCCTCCCTGTCCCACATGGTTCGGGAGGAAATAACAGATGAAGGGAGGCATAAAAGACAAAAATCTGAAGTCCGTGGGAAGCTAGAGGAAAGTGGGGTCCTCTCTTGCTGACCGTCACCCCGTGATTTGAGCAGGGATTGTTTCTCCCCATCTTTGTCTGGCCCGTGAGAAGAATTTCAGTTCCGAAGGGCCTGGCGGGCCCCGTGCTTGCTTGCATGTGAGAAGTCAGGTCCCCCCCCCCAGCACTGCGTGGTCACAAGCCCCCGCCAGGAGCCACCCAGCACTGACACTGGGACAGCCTCTGAGCACGGCCGCTGTCACCCTCCCCGCTAAGGCCACTCCAGAATGACTCGTGCTCCGTGGAGTCGTGAAGTCGCCGCGTCTCTTCCCAGACCTTGGCTTAGGATGACACTGAGGTGGTGGCCCCAACCCCATCCCCCTTCTGAAGAGCCTGTGGCTTTTGTCCCGCGGCCTGGGCCTCAGGAAGGCTGCTCCCCACCGCGTGCCGGGACAGCCTCAGCCGTGAGAGGCCCCCGGCAGCCCACACACACGTCACCCTCCTTGCCTCGGGTGGGAGAGCGGCCATCCTGCCAGTGGACATTCACCCGTCTCCTGACCCGAGGTGTTTGCTTTCCAGGCCCGGATGAAAGACGAGAGACCGTTTGAAATATTCTCTTTAAAGAGGGATTTTGAGTGTGGGCTATTTCAAATAGAACCCATCAAATGTCTCCTAGATTCCAGAACTCCTGGCTGCGATTCTGATCTGAGGAACAGTGGATAAATAGCTCTCCAGCCCCAGCAGGACGCCCCGCCCGGAGGAGAGGGGAGGGGCTGATCAATGCTCTTTATTGTTTTCTCGCTTTGATTTTTCTCTTTGTGCTGCTTTCTTTGATTGGTTGGGTTGGGTTTAGTACACAGAAACTTCTGGAACATGGCTAAATTCAGCATTTCTTTTTTCTTAGTTACTGGACCATGCCCGGCTGTACACAGAGCCAGCACTGGGCTCCGGGCTCAGGGACACTCCTGCTGGGGCCAGGGGACCGTATGGGGTGCCCGGGATTGAGCCCAGGTGGCTGCATGCAAATCAAGTGTCCCTCGCCCCCTCCCCCCCACCGTCATCCTTTCGCTCCCCACACTCCCGTTCTCCAGGCTCCAAGTCCTGTGCTGTCTGTCTGTCCGTCCCAGCAGAAGGAAATAGCTCCGGGCTGAATATGGATATGGAGTTTGTAAACTGTGTCCCCCAGCACGCCAGCCCGTCCGTCCCCAGCTAGAACCCTCCGAGTCCAAAAGGAGTCCGTTGAAGGGTGCTCCCCGCTGACACAGGCTCCTCCGAGGTGCTCACGGGGACCCTGTCCTTGCCTTCATCGGCGTGAGGAGAGCAGACCGCAGAGCCCCTCCACCGCTCGGTCTCACTGCCACCCACTGTTGGCCTCCACCGATCTGTACTAATCTCCACTCACTGTCTGCACTCACCTCCACTCTGTGCTCACCTCCTTCCCTCTCCTGCCCTGCAGACCCGACCCGGGTGATGGTGCCGCCTTCCAGCATGGACGTAACGGTGGGCGAGAGCATTGTCCTGCCCTGCCAGGTCACCCATGACCACTCGCTGGACATCGTGTTCACTTGGTCCTTCAACGGCCACCCCATTGACTTCGACAGAGACGGGGACCACTTTGAGAGAGTCGGGGGGGTAAGTATTAACACCCGAGCCAGCCGCTGCTCCGAGCAGACTGAGAGACCCTGTGAGAGGCGCCGAGAGAAACAGGAGACTGGGGCTCTGCGACCCCGTTCCCCGCACAGTCGGTGGCGTCACTTGTCGTGAAGCCTGGGGAGGGGGCGGGGATCTCCATCCCCACAGCAGCACCAGGCCGGCTCTGCGGAGCTCCAGGCTGCAGCCCGGCCTGGACTCCCCCGCCCTCAGCCTGGCCCTGACCCAGGGGAGCGCAGGGGACAGCTGCCCGCGGCCACTGAGGTCAGGTTGGGGCTGGGCGGAAGATGTCTTAGGTTACCTAGCAGCTCCAGGAGGTCAAAACCAAATGGCTCCATGTTCCAGAGGCCCCGTTCCACACAGTGTGGAGTGGACCTGCCAGGGGCTCTGTGCCCTCGATGCCCCGATTCCATCAGGATGACAAGGCTGCCAGCCTGCCGATCCCCCCACGGCCCTGGGGCTGGGACTGGACCGCCCACCCCGGTCTGGCTGACCTGGGCCCTGGAAGCCCGAAGGTGGAGCTCAGGAGCATTGGGGCTAGACGGTCACTCGGGAAGGGGCACTAGCTGTGGCCTCTCGCTGCCAGCTGCTTCCGTGAATCCTTTTGTTGCTTCCAGCTTAACAAAACTAGTAAATACAGAGAACACCCCAGAAAGCACAGCCACAACATTCTGCCCCGGGGCTGCTGTGTCGGAACCGTCCAGGTCACGGCTCGTTCCTCCAACTGATGGACAGAACGGGTCACTGAGCTGGCACAAAGGTTTCCAGAAACCCGGGTGGATTCCCTCCAACTCCCTGGCCCAGTAAGCCCAGGGGGCGTTTGCCCCTTAAGCCCAGTGTCACCCCCTGAAGCCCACTGTGCCTGCCATCCTGGAGCCCTGTGCCAAGAGGCCACCCCGTCTCCTTCCTCTGAAGGCTGCGTGGCTCCAAGCCAGCACAGCCGCCCCTGCACTTACGCACGGGCCTCCCCCAGAGCCAGCGAAGTCTGCCCCCCTCAGACCAGGAAACTCCAGGGGCCGGAGCGATAGCACAGTGGGTAGGGCGTTTGCCTTGCACGCGGTTGACCCAGGTTTGATTCCCAGCATCCCATATGGTCCCCCGAGCACCGCCAGGAGTGATTCCTGAGTGCGGATCCAGGAGTAATCCCTGTGCATCGCCAGGTGTGACCCGAAAAGCAAAACCAAACAAACAAAGCAAAACAACAACAACAACAAAAAAAAAACAGAAAACTCCAAAGGGTTCCCCCTTAAAGCCACCTCCACACCTGTCTTAGGGCTATAGTTTGTGTTAGTTAAACCAAGTTCAAGATGACCACTGGGGTCACCCAGGCATGGATGCGTCAACCCGCCCAGGGCTAGTTCCCCCGCTTAAAGGCGAGCATCTTCTGGGCTAATGACCCAGTCTGGATCCCCCTAAAGTCCAGCCAAGCCAGTTCCCTTCTCCCTTCAATCCAAAGTGTCCCATCCTTCAACCCCGAGTTGTTTTCCTCCACAAACCGGGTTTGAACCCAGCGTGGCGCCTTCCCTACTGGAGCAGGCCTATGGCACCCCGAAGGCTCAGAGCAGGCGCCATCCCTGACCCCATCTGGCCCCTCCCACGGGGCCTTCTGGGGAGATTCATCTTTGCCTGAGCTCTAGGCCAGTGTTGTGCTCACGCCCAAGATCGCCTCAGTCAGACCCACGGAAGGGGCTTCGCCCCAAGTCCAGATGACGGGCACGGGGGTCCCTTCATTTGTGAATCACCTAGGGTGCCCGGGATTGAGCCCAGGTGGCTGCATGCAAATCAAGTGTCCCTCGCCCCCTCCCCCCCACCGTCATCCTTTCGCTCCATCCTTAGTTTCCAGGTTCTTTATGAGTCCTGATCCTCAGAGGAGTCCTGTGAACTTGATTAGAAAGTACTAGAACTGGCGCTGGAGTGATAGTCCAGTGGGGAGGGCGTTTACCTTGCACACAGCTGACCCCGGTTCGATTCCCGTCATCCCATATGGACCCTGAGCACCGCCAGGAGTGATTCCTGAGTGCAGACCCAGGAGTAACCCCTGAGCATGGCCAGGTGTGACCCAAAAAGAAAAAAAAAGTACTAGAACCTAGATGAGTGCCCCTGAGTTATGAGTTCGGGGGCTGTTTTAACGGGGGTCACAAGGGCTGTCCCCAGTGTCCTTGGTGGTGCAGGTGGCCGCGTGTACAGGCCTCCAAGGCCCAGCTGAGTTGGCAGGGAAAAGTCCGCCTGGCTTTTCTGGAACAGGCGCCTGGGCCGTGGACGCGATTGTCCCTGCAGGACACAGGGCGGGTCATCAGTAGCCCCCGGTCTGTGTGTCACCCCAGCAGACCAGGAGCCAATGCTAGGAGGCTGGAGAACCCCTGGGGCCGCAAGGTGGTCACTGCCTCACTAGGGGCAGCTGAACACAGGGCTCGGGGCTGCCAGGGAAAGCAGCGTCCAGCGCGGGGCCTGTGGCCAGCCAGCATGAGTGGGAAGGCTGCGCGGTGACCTTCGCACCCAAGCAGACCCCTCCCTCCATGGGCCGTGCGGTGAAGCTGAGTGGTGGTTCCTGGGCGTGCCACGCCGCCCTGGGCCCGTTAGTCCTGTTTTTCTGTGGGTCAAACATGCATCTGGTGTTTGGAAAACAAATTAGCCCCGGTTCCCCCGAGCAGCCGGGCCTGTCACCCCTCATCTGGCCCGGAGCAGGGCAAGCGCTGGCCCCCGGCAGGCTGCGGGCTCGGGCCACAGGCCCCTGCGCCCAGCCCAGGGGGTGCGAGCCGGGAGCTGTGGGCGAGAGGTCTGCAGAGCTCATGCCCCCCACCCGGTGCCCCCGACGCCTGCTGGGGTGGCCAGTATGGCAGCGCCCACAGCCAGGCACGCAGGTCTCAGTGCCTCTGTGGGGGCGGCTCCTTGCTCAGTGCTCATCAGCCGGCGGACGGTGGATCCGGCTGGCATAGCGTCCTCCGTGCCCGGCCACTCTCGGCCCCGGTCAGTCACTGTGGCCGCTCTCCGCTTCTCAGCAGGATTCCGCCGGCGACCTGATGATCCGAAACATCCAGCTCAAGCACGCGGGCAGGTACGTCTGCACCGTGCAGACCAGCGTGGACCAGCTCTCCGCCACCGCCGCCCTCATCGTCAGAGGTACGGGCCAGGCGTCCGCCTCTGCACGCGCGGGGCACTGAGGGCCGAGTACCCGCCGGCTGCCGGAGCCGCTCACACCTAGCACTAGCACAGAGCACTGAGAACTGAGTATCCCGCCCCCCCGCAGCTGCCAGAACCGCTCAGACCTAGCACTAGCACAGAGCACTGACAACCGAGTACCCCGCCCCCCATGGCTGCCGGAACCACACAGACCTGGCACTAATACAGAGCACTGAGAACCGAGTACCCCACCCCCATGCAGCTGCCAGAACCGCTCAGACCTCTGAGAGCCAGAACAGAGGGAAGAGTCTGGGAGCGGTGAGATGGGAGCTCTGGGTGTTTCCTCTGGACCCCACAGATGAAATTTTGGGTCAGAGATACGCCAGTTTGGTAATGTCATCACCACATCCACCCCATTCCCTTCTCCCCTAAATCTGAGCGTCTGATTCAGCTCCTGAATGGGACTTTGAGGCCAGGCCTCTGCGGTCACCCTTGCTTGGCCGGGAGCCAGACGCTGGCGTGGACACAGCGCGGAGCAGGGGCGGGAGACCTGGGGCCCAGCCGCCCGCACCCACGTCACGGGGTTCTTCCCACTTTCAAAGCCACCCGAGCAGCTCACTCTCCCTGAGGGGACAAAGGAATTCTATTGCTGGAAATTTATCCTCTATGTAATTAGGATAATGTTCAGATCAGCAGTTTAAACACCAATAAATTAGACTAATAAATATTTAAATCAGTAATACTTGAAGTTCTTAAATGATATTGTATACTTCATTTCACAGAAAATAACATTCAATACCAAGAGGAATTTGCCAGCCAGTCTGGAGAAAGTCTCGTCTCCTCAGTTAATAAGGCCCATAAATTCACCTGCCAGGGGGACCCTCAGCTCCCCGTATCCCCCCCACCTGCCCCAGCTGCCTTTCTGCCGGGCGAGCCAGCCCGACCCCCGTCCCCGTGGCCAGCGCCTCGATGGACGCTTCCTTTAGTTCAGAGGGTGGACACTGGTGTGCTGAGTCACCCGGGCACTTCCCCATGCAGCTGGCCGAGCAGGGTCTGGTCTCATCTGTGCTGTGGGTGAGGAGCAGAGTCACCCCTTGCCAGGCCCTTCTCAGCCTCGCGCCCCGTGGCCAATGTGCAAGAGACTCTTGAGGGACCCCCCAACAGGGTCCAGGAGCCAAGCGATGGGGCACCCCGGGGCCTGGGTGAGGAAGGAGCTCAGGGCCGGAGCCCATGCCCCCCCTGTCCCAGCGCCAAGACCAGGCCCCTATGTTCAGGACAGGAGCGGCCACGGGCAGAGGGACCTGCCTGGTCTCAGGGAGCTGCTCAGTGCCGCTCTGAGTGGACGCTCTGAGAGAGCGTGGCCGTCAGCAGCCGGGCAGCCAGCGAGGTCCACATGCCTGCCCACGGGGCCTCGCCACCTCCATGCGGTGTCCAGCCAGCTGTGGCTGCAGCTGCCCATCCAGGGGTCACTGGGCAGCGGGGGACCCACCTTGTCAGCCTGGGGCCACGCGCCGTGGTGCTCGGGGCCTGCGGCTGCCCTGTGGTACTCAGCCCGGCCGCAGCCCCGAACACAGGCCCCCACGGGGTCCCCCCCATCCTGCTGCCTCCTGATGCCATCCAGTCTGCCGGGCACTCACCGTGCCCCGAGTTCCGGGGCCTGGGGCCAACTGAGGCTGTGATTCTAGGCTGGGTGCCCACGAAGGCAGGGTCTTATGGCAGGGCCTCGGTCGGTAGGGGACAGACAGACAAGCCCGGGCCGGGGGTCGCCTAGTCTCAGGCCCTCAGGGAGAGTCTGTCCCCGCTTCACTGGCAGGACCAGGAGGAACGAGCACCGGCCTGGGAGCATGGGGCGGGGCCGGGAGAAAGGGGGTAGGGAGGCTGGGAGCACGCGGCAAGGCTGGGAGCACGGGGCAGGGCCCCCGCGTGGACCGCTGACCTCCCACCACTGCTGAGGGCCTTGCTCTTCCCAGGCCCCCCGGGCCCGCCAGAGGCCGTGACCATCGACGAGATCACAGACACCACGGCCCAGCTGTCGTGGCGAGCCGGGCCCGACAACCACAGCCCCGTCACCCTGTACGTGATCCAGGCCAGGACGCCCTTCTCCGTGGGCTGGCAGGCCGCCAGCACAGGTACAGCTGGGACAGGACCGGGCAGGCAGGAGGAGGCACTGGACAGCTGGGGACAAGGACAGCTGGGGACAGGGCCCGGCAGGCAGGAAGCACTGGACAACTGGGGACAGGGTTGGGCAATCCACCAGCACTGGACAGCTGGGGACTCCCCTGGGCAGAAGCAGTGGCCTCTGACGTCCCAGCATACAGGTGACCAGGCACACAGGTGACCCAGCACACGTGTCCTGGCCTCCCATGGCTCTGCACCATGACAGAACCTGTTGCTTCTGACTCTCACTCCCGAGAAGCAAAACCATCCAAGCTTTGGAGGGGTCAGATTTTCCTGAAAGCCGCCCTAACTGTGGTACAGAGCTCAGATGCACCGTCTGTGCTGGACTAGATTCTCTCTTCGGCTGGGGTCACTCTGGGGATGGCAGCAGGAGCCTTTAGGACGGTCTCCGGCTGCTGAGTGGGAGGCAACGAGGCCCACCCTCACCCCCCCTCACAGCCACGCCGGACAGAACAGAGGCTGGGGCACAGCCAGGAGGCCCGCGTGGCCCCCTCACACTTCCCCCAGGCCGGTGCAGCCCACCCCTGTGCCTGCCTCCTAGGGGCGGCAGACAGCGAAACAATCCCTGAAGGACCTGGGAGGATACGGCATACGCCACGGCCAGTAGCTCCTGACCCTGCACCCCTCTGAGCACTTTGAGTTTAGTCTCCAAGGAGGTCCCCCAAGAGAGTGCAGACCCTGTCCAGGAGGCGGCCCTGAGCCCCGGGCCCCCAGAGGCCGCAGCAGGCACAGGACGCCCCACCTCTGGGTGGTGCCGTGTCCGAGGGTCCCGAGGACCATCCCTTCTCCTTCTGCATTCCAGTCCCGGAGCTTATCGACGGCAAGACCTTCACGGCGACCGTGGTGGGCCTGAACCCCTGGGTGGAGTACGAGTTCCGCGCGGTGGCCGCCAACGCCATCGGCATTGGGGAGCCCAGCCAGCCCTCGGAGAGGCGCAGGACAGAGGAGGCCCGTGAGTGATGCCCGGGGCTCAGACTGCTCCTCAGGGAGCTCCCCCCCAGATCTTGTACCCGATTGCACACACAGCTCACACGCACACACAGTTCACACACAGCTCATACGCACACGCACACAGTTCACACACAGCTCACACGCACGCACGCACACAGTTCACACACAGCTCACACGCACACACACACAGCTCACATGCACACACAGTTCACACTTAGCTCACACAGAGCTCACATGTACGCACACTGCTCACACGCACGCAGTTCACACACAGCTCACATGCACACACACAGTTCACAGACAGCTCAATGCAGGCAGATCACACGTGTGCAACAAGCATGCACACATGCCTAAACACATGCACAAATGTTGTGTACACCTGGACACATCATCCATGTGTGCGTGCATATACATACATGCACACACATGCAGACACATGCAATCACATGTGCACACATGCACAAGCATGCACACAGTCACACACAGGCATATGCGCACACGGACACACACACTCAGTCAGACTCTCACAGTGGGCCCAGGATGTGCTCCGAGCATTCAGGCTGCCTACACTCCCGAGAGAGGCACCGGCTGCTCCCACCCCTCGGTCCCGAGCGGGAAGACACTGCAGGGAACCAGCCAGGATTCTCAGGGGTGCCCAGCCTGGCCTCTGCCGGCCCTGGGAGTCCCGTGACCCTGTGCGGCCTGGCGGGGAGTGGCAGGGCCTGGGGTCCTTCTGCCCTGGGAACAAGCCTCTCTTGAGCGGGGACCATCGGCCATGGAGTGTGGGAGGCGCAGGGACTGCCCAGCGGGCTGTGAATCAAGGTGAGCGCCGGGCCCAGAGCCGGGCCCCTTTTCCCCTGCCCTGCCCTCCCCCTGGGCTGGGGCTCTGGGCCCCTGCGGGTGCTGGGTGCCCGCTGGGGAGCCAGGCCCAGGCCCGGACCCTGCCGACACACTGCCTGTCCCTGCAGTCCCTGAAGTCACCCCCGCCAACGTCAGCGGAGGCGGAGGCAGCAAGTCGGAACTGGTCATCACGTGGGAGGTGAGTGACCCGTGTCCTCCCCGACGCTGCCAACGCTGGCCCACAGCCTCAGCTGTGGGTGCTGGTTCCCCACACGCCAGAAGCCACCACGAAAGGTGTGTGTGTGCAAAGGGCTGGTTTGAGAGCCGGCTGCTGCGGCCAGAGCCCGGGGCCCGAGCGACTTCCTGGTGGTGCTTCTCTGCAGGGGGGAGTTGGGGGGGCTCTTCCTGACACGATCTGAATCCCCCCAGGGCTGCCTGCACCCAGTGCATCTGATCCCGACCATGCTGGGGAGGGCGGGCAGGCCTGGGGCCTCTCGGCACTGATGGTAGCCAGGAGGGCGGGAGCATGGGGAGGCCTGCGGACCGGCCCTGGGGGTCGGCAGGGGATTGGTGGTGGGCAGGAAAGACCGGGAGGATGGGGAGAGCAGGGAGGACAAGGAGCACGGGGAGGATGGGAAGACAGGATGAGGAGGAGGAGGAGGATGTCAGGAGCATAGACAGAGAGCATGGGGAGGGCAGCAGGGGGGACGGGGAGCACGACTGGGGGTGCAGGGAGCACGGGGAGGGCGGGGAGGACAGCGGGGGGGACCCGGGAGCAGGGGCGGGGTGCAGGGAGCAGGAGAGGGGGTGCAAGGAGCACGGGGAGGCCCGGGAGCAGGGGCAGGGTGCAGGGAGGACGGGGGCGGGGGGGGCGGGAGCACGGGCGGGGTTGCAGGGAGCACGGGGAGGGCAGGGAGGACAGTGGGGAGACCCGGGAGCAGGGGCGGGGTGCAGGGAGCAGGGGAGGGGTGCAGGGAGCACGGGGAGGCCCGGGAGCAGGGGAAGGGTGCAGGGAGGGCAGGGAGGCCAGCAGGACCCGCAGCCTGAGCGCCCCGCCCCGCAGACGGTGCCCGAGGAGCTGCAGAACGGCCGCGGCTTCGGCTACGTGGTGGCCTTCCGGCCGTCCGGCAAGGCCGTGTGGATGCTGACCGTGCTGGCCTCGGCCGACGCCTCCAGATACGTGTTCCGGAACGAGAGCGTGCGGCCCTTCTCCCCGTTCGAGGTCAAGGTGGGCGTCTTCAACAACAAGGGCGAAGGCCCCTTCAGCCCCGCCACGGTGGTCTACTCTGCAGAGGAAGGTAGGACCCGGGCTCCGGGCGTGGCTGCGGTAGGCCCCGCCCACACCGCGGCCTGTGATTGGCGCCCTTGGTAGGCCCCGCCCACACCGCGGCCTGTGATTGGCGCCCTTGGTAGGCCCCGCCCACACTGCGGCTGGTGATTGGCGCCCGTGGTAGGCCCCTCCCACACTGCGCTCAGTGATGAGTGCCTGTTGTAGACCCACCCACACTGCTCTGGGTGATTGGTGCCGCGGTAGGCCCTGCCTACACTGTGCTTGGCGATTGGTGCCCGTGGTAGACCCCAGCCACACTGCTCTCGCTGATTGGTACCCACGGTAGGTCCCGCCCACACCACGCTTGGTGATTGGTGCCCGTTCTAGACCTTGCCCAAACTGCTCAGTCTCACCGTCTGCCACTGCGCCGTGTTCTCCTCCCGGTTCCTCTTAGCACGGACAGAGCAGGTCGAGAAGCACGTGGTCACCACATGTCACCCGCATGGTCACGCATTCAAGGTCATGCCCTGTGGCTGCTCACTGCTTGTCCCGTCCATCCATGGTCATTGTGCCCTCAATGTGCTGCTGATCACGCCCAGCACAAAGTAGGGCCCTGTGGGAAGGTCTGGAAACATCTGGAAATGGTTTGGAATCAGGACAGGCAGGAACGCCACCCCGGACAGTGGCCAGGGCCGTGCCTTGCCATGTCCATGCTACCGGCCAGAGGGCCTTCAGGACTCCCTGGGGCTGAGCCCCAAGCAGGCAGCCGAGTCTGAACACTCCTGCCACCCACCTGTGGTCTGACCCGCACCCACAGCCTCCCTCCTCCCCTTCCCGGGCCTGGCCACTCCTCACTGCTTGTCCACCCAAGTTTCCCTTCCCAGCCTGGCTCCAGTCACATACGCAATCACCGTGTCACCCTCGTGTCAGGCTGGACGTGATGGACATGTGCCCTCCTAGCTAATCACTCAGGGTCGGACTTGGATAGGGACAGGCAGACACGCGGGCGCTCAGCAGGGACCTCCGAGAGCGAGTGTGTGTGGAGGGCGGCCCCCGGCTGACTGTGATGCCACAGCAGACAGGGGACAGTGTTGTCCTGAGTGTGACTCTCACACCCGGAAAAAGGCGGCCTCCTGTCGCCTCTTCCTGCAGAAGGGAACTTCTGGCCAGGGTGGAGGGCACTGGCCACATCCAGCCTTTTAAACCCCGGAAGTTCTGGACAGGTTTCTTGCGCGGGGGACATAGGCTGGACCCAGCCCCCTGCCCTTGCCACTGGGGACACAGGCCTATGGAGAATCCAGGATTGTCAAGGTCACAGGGAGGGCACATGGCTGGTCAAGGTCACGGGGAGAGTGGGGTCTGGTCAAGGTCACAGGCAGGTGCAGGACTCATCAAGCCCCTAGCACGGGGAGTCAGGACTAGTCAAGGTGACAAGAAGCAGCCACAGTCACAGGGAATTAAAGGACTTGGCAAGGGCACAGGCACATGTGGTGAACTGTCCCGGCCGAGGGGACTCTGGAACCCGTCTGGGTCACGGGGAGAGGGTGGATGAGTCGGGGTCTCAGGGAGAGCGTGGGATGGTCGGGGTCTCGGGAAGAGTGCACGGGCAGGGTCAGGGTATTGAGGGCATGCAGCTGACCTCTGGCCAGCATCCCACCTCCCTGCCCTCCCTGCCTGCCAAGGGCACGTCCCCACCTCAGACAGTGCCAGGTGCACCTTAAGGATCCTGAGCTCCTTCCCACCCCTCACCCCCCACACACACACTTAACCCCAGAATTCTGGCCAGTGTCTTTACCCATCTGTCTCTGCCACTCCCAGCCTGCGCCAGGCCCTCTGTAGCTCTCGAACCCCCGCCCTGTGAAGCCTGTCCCCCTCAGACACCGGGGCCTGGGGAGCCACAGCTTCCTCTGCTCCCCCGTAGAGCCCACCAGACCACCGGCCAGCATCTTCGCCAGGAGCCTGTCGGCCACAGACATCGAGGTTTTCTGGGCTTCCCCTCTGGAGAAGAACCGGGGCCGGATCCAAGGCTACGAGGTGAGCAGGAGGCAGGGCTGCCCTGGCAAGGGCCTGGCCGGATGCTCCGTCCAGGCTGGGCGATGGCAGGCGGCTGCCGAGCCACCCTCGGGAGACCTGTCCCGTCTCTGCTCAAGGTCCGCAGGGCCGAACCCCCGCACTGTGGTTGGCAAACGGGCTTGAGCTTGGATCTGTCCTGGATCTGCCAGGCACGGACGCGGGCAGTTATGGGCAGGCGGCCAGCACGTTCCCCATCTCCCTTCTTCCCACCCGCCATGTCCCAGGTCACGCCAAGCGCCTGGTCCTGAAACCCCGCCAGTGGATTGTTTGAGCAAATACACGCAGCCCCGAGAAGGTGTGTGGCTCGTGGTGTCCCACGCGTGTAGCTGGAACTCATCTCCAAACTCTCTCCTTGCCTTTTCTCAGGTTAAATACTGGAGACATGATGACAAGGAAGAAAATGCTAGAAAAATACGAACCGTTGGCAACCAAACTTCGACAAAGATCAGCAACTTGAAAGGCAGTGCTCTCTACCACCTGGCCGTCAAAGCGTACAACTCCGCGGGGACGGGCCCGTCCAGTGCCACCGTCAATGTGACCACCAGAAAGCCACGTAAGGGCAGTGCTTCCCAGAGCCGACACCACCAGCCCTGTCCAGAACCGACCCATCAGCTGTGCCCAGAACCAGCCCATCAGCCCCGTCCAGAACCATCCATCAACCCTACCCAGAACCATCCCATCAGCCCCACCCAGAACCGGCCCATCAGCCCTGCCCAGAGCCGGCCCATCAGCCCTGCCCAGAACCGGCCCATCAGCCCTGCCCAGAGCCGCCCCAGCCCTTCCAGTGCCCCCCGGAACTCCGGAGCGTGCAGTGTGGCATCACTCCCTGGACCCCCATTTTCCATAGCATCAGGATGACCTCTTCAGGGTTCCCAGTTCCATGACCTCTCCAGGATACTGGTGACTCGGTCACTGGCCAGGCAGAGCTGAGCGCCTCGCCTTCCCCAAAGGCCGCCCTCGCATGAGAGCAGCTGCTAAATCCTTTCCCGCTGGTACCCGTCTATCCCGCCAGCCAGCGGGAGTGACCAGAGGGGTGTTCGTGTGACCAGCACAGGCCACAGACCCTCAAGACCGTCAACTAGGTTCAAATTCCTTTCTAAACCGTCTTCGTTCCTCTGAATTCCTCTCACAGCCCCCAGCCAGCCCCCTGGGAACATCATATGGAACTCGTCAGACTCCAAAATCATCCTCAACTGGGACCAAGTCAAGGCCCAGGACAATGAGTCCGAGGTGAAAGGGTACAAGGTGGGCGGCTCCTTGCGCGCAGACCCCCCCGCCCTGCTCCCCGTGGGGACCCTGAGGGTTCTGTGTTCATCCTGTCTCAGCTCCATGAACAGTCCCGTCACCTTGATTCTGCAGGAAGGCCGGGGCACGAGCCTGAACTTCTGGAATGTTCTGGGAGGGAGAGACGAGAAGGTCCCGGGAAAGGCTCTTCCCCCTGACACCTTTGTCTCTCGCTGAGGACCAGGCCGGTCCTGGGGTCACACACTGATGCTGGGGTAGTCCCGAGCCACTTTCTGCCTCCAGGCCTGGCGCTTGCAGACACACAAAGCACCTTCACTGGGTTTTCACAGTCAGTTTGTGGGTATGGATGGCACACGTGTGGCAGGGTGAGGCCCTGCCGCTGGTTCTGGGCTACTCCTGCCTTGCTCGAGGTGGGGGACCTCGATGGGCCCCTGGCACCAGCCTGCCCTCAGCCCCTGAGCTCGGCAGCCGCGTCCCGTGCTGTTGGAGGGACCGCTGCAGACGGAGGGGAGCTGGTGCCGGGCGCATGAGGCCAGGCTGGAGCGGGAGGGGCGGCCCCCAGCCTGCCAGCGTGGACCCGCCCTTCACCCCCAGGTGTTAAGCAAAAGCAGAAGTCTTATTTCAGTGTACTGGGGTCAACTGTCTCACCCCCAGAGTGGTCTCTTGATAGCGAGCAAGCAGTTTATACAGGGTTTGATAACATAAGCGTACATGCCGTATTGTTTCAGGAAAAACCTTGCCTGGGTACCAAACGAAGGTATCTTGGCAAGTGTCTAGGGTAACAGTGGTCAGGCAACAGTTAAACAATAATTTCCAATAACAGTTTATGGTGACATAAGCTGCTCATTCCTTACAGGTAACAAAAGATCATTTCTGGGGCATTTTAACTGAGGCACAGTGATTGATTGAGCATTTATTGGGCCCGGGAACTTCTCAGGTGGGTTCAGGTTGGCCAGTGACACATTGTTTCACTGCTGAGAAACCGAGACTGTTTCAGTTCCAGGAACTGAACCTGAGGCCCAGCTGGTTTTTCTCATTTCTGCCACCTCTCATGGCAACAGTTTCCTGTCATAGCGTCAGTTGCGCCCTTACACAGGGAAGGTCCTTCCCGAGCCCAGGTAAAAGCCGACTCATCCGGCTGAGCGTGGGTCTCTCGCCTTCCTCTGTTCTCATCTCTGCGCCTCCTCCCTGGCCGGCCAGCCCATCTCTCCGTGTCGATGGTCAATGCTCAGAGCTCAGTCGGGCCCAGCCAGAGCCTGCTGGACTCTCCTTGCCACCCCAGAGGCTCGGGACAGCTCCTGTCCCCAGACCAGACCCCCACGCCCCAGCAGTGCCCTTCCCCCGCTAGCGTGAAGGCACCAGGCTGCTCTTGTCCCTGAGCTGGGGAGGGAGAGCTTGTCTGACTGGCCCAGGACGAGGAATTGCAGGAAGATGGAGGGAAAGTACACGGCCGGGCTCTTTTCCCCCGACAGAAGGAAGGCGAGGGGACCACGCATTGGGGGGACCCTCTGGAAGCCCCGAGCTTTGCCCCGCGAGCAGAGCAGGAGAATAGCGCCCAGTGCAGCCCCACTGTGCCTTGTCACCCCCCGGCAGGGCAGCTTGTCAGGGAACCCAGGGCTTCCCGGGTAGGTGCCACCAGGCAGGGGCAGGCAGGGACCCAACTCCCCGGTGCCAGCCCGGCTCCAGACTGCCAGGAAAGGCCCACGGGCATCTCTAGAAGCGGGGCCGGACACAGGCTTGGTTCCGGCGAGCGGCTCCTTGTCTGAGACCCCCCGCCCCCCGCGGGTCCCTGAGTCTGTCTCGGCGGCTGTGTCGGGCAGGTCCTGTACCGGTGGAACAGGCAGAGCAGCACGTCGGTCATCGAGACCAACCAGACGTCAGTGGAGCTGTCGCTGCCGCTGGAGGAGGACTACATCGTGGAGATCCGGCCACTGAGCGACGGCGGCGAGGGCAGCAGCAGCGAGCAGATCCGCATTCCCAAGATCTCCAGTAAGCCCCTGGCACCCCCCACGCAGTCACGGGCGTCTCTGCCAGGCATGCTTCCCGAGGCCGTGGGCGTCCCCGGACGCGCAGCCCTTCCCTCTCTGGGTCTGGACCGCAGCCGGCTGTGCTGGGACCAGGATGGAGCGGGTGTCCCACGGACATGGCTGCACATCTCTCAGACCCTGGGACCATCGCCTGGGCATGGGACGGCTGAGGGGTATGTGGTTTCCCCAGAATTTCCCAGTCCCGTTGCCCACACGCTACGTCTGCGGAAGGCTCGTGGGATTTTGTGTCACCGGGCACGCACGGGAGTCTGGAAGGCAGTTCACAGCCGAGGCCAGTGAGTGGTGGGGCCGCAGTGGCCCTGGCCATGCCGGGGACAGTGACGCTCTGGGCTGGACTGTCACGGCATGCAGCCAGTGGTGACATAGCTGAGACAGCACAGAGGCCCCTGCCCTGGGATGGACCGCGGAAGTGGGAGGACGGTGCCGCAGCCTGGTAGACACGCCATCCCCAGATGTCGGGGACAAGCAGGGACCGCCCGAGAGCTAGAGTGAGACAGGCACGCTGGCACCTGTGTGGTCTGCCCAGCCGAGCATGACGCAGCAAGACTTGGGCTCAGGGGGGTGGGGCCAGCCCTCCCCCCTCCCTCCTGCCATCAGCAGAGCACACATCGGTCAGGACAGCCGAGCGGGGTGATGTGGGACCTGGCGCATCCCCCCAGCTGCAGGGGCACTGGGCCTTGGGTGCCCGGGCAGGGCGAGGGTTTGACCCCCAATCAGCAGGACACAGGTGGGCCCGGGGTCTCTCGCGCCCCCCGCACTGCAGAAGTCAGAAGGGGGCGGGGACAGCCCCTCAGCCTCCGTCACCAAGACACGTCCCTGAGACAATCAGGAAGGACTGCTCAGGGCCAGCTCCTGTCCGAGTCTGCCCTGAGAGGTCCCGGTGGCCCCATTTCTCCCTCTGTTCAGTGTCCCGGCCAGGGTGGGGTCAGTGGGGCTACTGGTGTCCAGCTTCCAGCAGGGGGGACACACAGTATGGCTGCGGCTGGCCTGTGTCCTCTGAAGCTTCCCCTGTCTGAGGAGCCCGGGAGGCGGGTCTGAGGGGCCACGGAGTGTCCTGCGGTGTCCCCCACGGGGCAGCACGCCGAGTGACCGTGCTCTCGTTGCAGACGCCTACGCGCGGGGAGCTGGCCCGTCCACGTCCAGCGCCTGCACACTGTCGGCCATCAGCACCATCATGATCTCCCTCACGGCCAGGTCCAGCTTATGACGAAAGCCTCCCGCGGGACTCTCGGGCCCAAGCGACACTTAGCTAGTGGTTTTGAAGACTCCCAGTACTAAGTAATATTGTTGTCCGAGTACATCTTATTACTGGAAAAAAAAATATGTTGTTTGCTTCTTTAGGAATGGCGTGATCCAGTACTTCTCAGAGCAATCTAGCTTTGACTGGAGCTTCTTGGGAAGCTCTGCAATGCACTGAAGGCATCTGTAATACGATGTTACCAAAGCAGTTTACATATGTCCTTATATGCATATTTTTATTATAGATTTAGTGTTTTATAGAATTTTTTAAAGTTAACATAAAATGTAGATATTAATTTTTTCCTCTGCTGTACAAATGCTACTCCGGACGGCATAATCATACCGTTATTATTTGCAACTCTTCCCCTCAAAGGCAGAGACGGGGATTCACCTTTGGAAATATGTGCACGGTGGCACCGGGTGCTCAGGGTCGGGGCAGAAGGAAGGCAGGACGGGACCCTGCCAGCGGCAGGCACACGCCTCACGTGGCCACGCTGACCTCCAAGAGCTTCCTTGTGCAAAGCGCCCTAGTGACACGCCCTTGGCCGGTCCCCTGCCCTCCGAGACTAGCCAGCAGCCCACCGGGCTCAAGGACAGGCGCGACTCCTACTGCCTCGGGGTGTCTGTTCTGAATGTACATTTTACACAAAGAGTAATTCTCTGTTGACGGACTCACGATTTCTTTACAGAACTTGTTATATGTACAACATGACTAATAGAGCGACTAATAGAGCCCCCTTTTGAACTAAAACCGGGCGGGTTCCTCCTAGCCCCACAGATAGTTGCAGCTAAGGATTTTTTTCACGACTAGAAACGCCTGTTAGCGCTATTGTCTGGTGTCCTGGCCGCTGTGCCATTTTTGCAGTAGGTAATCTAGTTCCTTTATAAACCGAACCTTCTAAGTCTTAAAAACCACACATTGGAAAATGACAATATCAACAAGCCCGTGTTCTTAGGGACAGACTCTTTGTTACAAGGGGGACGTTTTGTAAGCCGACGCTCTGCGGATTGGTGCATATCAAAGCAATGACGTTTTCTATAAAAATTTTCACTTGTGAACATGCTGCCACCTTTTCTTCTTTCTCAGAGAGCTCAGATTTGCCTGTAATTTGTCATTTTTGCTTACAAATAATGTAAGTTCTATTTATCCAATAAAGTCATAACAAGGGTTCCACTTGTGTAAAGACTAGGGTGGTAACCGGGGGGGGATGTCAGTATTTCCAGCTGTGTTCCTTTCTTAGTTTGATATGGTTACTTCTATGTTGAAATAAAATTTAAAACCACACACACGTGAAAAAAATCAGAAAAATAATAAAATGAATAAAAAAAAATGACCCAGGCTAGCCCTCTCCCGTGTAAATGGTATTTGCCGGTGAACTAGCAAATGTAATCCTTTTTTAAAGGTATTGTTAATAAATACTCCATCATTTGTAAAGATCCTTGTCTTGGGGAGCATTTTTGCCCCTGCCCGCCAGGAGGAGGTGGTCCCCCAGACTCAGCATTGCGGCCCCTCCACGGGGGAGGAACAGGACCATCTCTTGGGTCAGAGCCTCTGGGTCCCTGGTCCCAGAACCAGGGGCAAAAGTTGCCTTCCCACCTCTAAAAGTATCAGCTCTGGCCTGAGCATTAAAAGTTCTTTGAACCACGGGTCTGGGCCGGCGGTCTGACAGGCATAAGCCACCCTGGCCACCCCTCAGTGTCCTCCCCATCTCTACCCTGTCCCCGAGGGCTGCACGGCTGAGTGCAGGGGTCCATCTATGGCCCTGGGGACACCCACGGGTACCTACTCCGGAGTGTCCCGCAGGTGGACAGGAATGCCCAGAGCCACACTGAGCTGTCTGCTGCAGAACAGCAGAGCTGGGACCCTCCAAAGGCCAGGCCAGGGCCACCATCCCTGGGGCGAGGGTCCTCCCAGTACCGAGGTCACCAGACGGCAGGAGGGGCTGCAGACGTACCCTGACAGTTGCGTGAATGGGCCCTGCCTGCCCTGAGTGGCCACACAAGGGCCGGGCCTCGGGCCGGCCACAGCTGAGCCTCGTCTGGACGCACCACGCAGCACGGCCCTCACTCGAATGCTGAACGCGCCTGCTGGGGTCCGCAGCTGGTCAGTGGCCCGGGCACCTGCTGCCCTCCTGCTCCATCCAGCTGAGCCCCCGGGAGCCTTGGGGGGCTGGAAGGTGAGTCCCAGATGCCATCAGCTTCATCCTCCATGGTCCCGGTCATCTGCGGCACTGTACATGGCTGACACAGGCTGGTGAGAAGCCCAGGCCTGCCATGGGCTCCATGGCCCGTGGGAGACCAGCTGCCGGCGGGGACACAGTCTGGCCTGGGTGGGGGGGTGTGGCAGCCCCAGGCAGGCTCTGGGCTGACACCAGGGCCCGAGGGGGCACCGGTAGGCAGATGTGGGCTGGGGCCCAGGGTTAGTCTGCACACAGGGACACTCCGGGCGTGGGAAAGCGGCAGCCAGCCCTGAGGGAGAGCCGGGCCAGGAGCAGGACAGCAGGGTGGCCCCGGCCACGGCATTCCTCACAGCTGGCCCTGCTGTCCTCTGGGAGTGCCAGGACACGCCGTCTGAACCTCGGACTCAGTCTGGACCAGGAGCATATGGCACCGGCGGTGTCTGCGTGTGTGTCCGCAGGACACAGCAGCGGGACTGGGGTGGACGAGCTGCTGTCCCTGCGTGGGGTCCTGCCCACTGCCGAGTGCCCTGCCCTGTCCCTCCCTGTCCCAGATCGGCCCGCAGGCCAGCAGGGCCCAGCACAGCTGGCCTGGATGCACCCGTGGGAGGTCACTGGCCCTCACAACCACCCCCTTGGGCCTGGGAAATGGGTCCTGCTGGGCGCTGGCACAGGCGGCCTCTGACCTCAGCTGCCCACCCAGTGCACGTCCACGCCTGGTCTTCTGGCTACAGAGCAGCCCAGAGTCCCTCACCAGCAGCCACTCTGATCCTGCTTGTCCTCAGCTTCCTCCCCTTGTGCCCGAATGATGTGGGAGAGGCCGGCTGGAACCTGGGGTCAGGTTGGGGCACAGGGCAGGGGTCAGCGGTCCCCACTGTGGCCTCTCGGCCTGGCCCCGACACCTGCAGTAGCAGCCCTGCTGGGTCTTGTGCCCTGCGACCTCTGAGCCTCATGTTGTGCCCGTGGGAAGGTGCTGGCTGCAGAAGCCCAGGCTGTCGGGGTGGACACGCTGTTGGGGTGGACATGCTGTGGGGATGGAGGCGCTGTAGGGATGGACATGCCAGGGGAGTGGGCATGCTGTTGGGGTCCTCTGGGAGTGCCAGGACACACTGTAGAGATCCACGCTTAGGGATGGACACTGTCGGGGCGGCCATGCTGCGGGACTCTCAGGTGTGCGAGGACAGACTCTTCACTGCTGCCCGTGCATGCATCCAGGACAGTGAGCACTGTCGCGGCTGCCTCCGCTGGGCCCCATCTCTTCCTGCGGGGCCGGGCTCCTCGACATTCTCTCCAGGGCTGCTCCAGCAGCAGCATGGCCGTGGCCACGAGGACCCGCCCCAGCCGCTCTGGTGGGACCCCAGGAGGTGGCCCACGGGGAGGGCCAGGGGCCTTCCTGGGCCCACACTCAGGAAACAAGTCAGAGGGCACTGAGCTGGCCCAAGGGCCCAAGTGCTGGGCATGTCCCCTGGGCGCTCCGATGGGGCAGGGTCCCGGACCCCTGAGCACCCCTCTCCCCTGGCCAGCAGACACGCTGTCCTGGTTGTCACAACGACGGGGCCACTGAAGGAAGGCCCAGAGCCGGCACTTTGAGGCTTCACTGCCGAGGCCTCAGTCGATGTGCACAGAGATGCATCACGTGGGTGTGGGGACACGCGTCAGCCAGGAGGATTGAGCCTCGTGCCTCAGTTTCTCCCAGAGGATGCACTGGTCAGCCCATGGACCGTGAGACACTGTCTGCTCTCTCCCTGCCCCTTTGACTCTCTCTTCTGCTCCCTCTCTCTCTCCCTCTCTCTCTCCTCTCCTCTTATCTTTCTCTCTCTCTCTCTCTCTCTCTCTCTCTCTCTCTTCCCCACAGCCCAGATACTCTTTGTGAGTCTTGGGGGTGGCCGAGGGAGCTACACTGGCAAGGGTGAGTGGGAGTGGGTGGGAGTCTGGGGCCCAGCTGGTGGGGGAGGAGAGGTCAGATTGGGGTCACGGTGATGCCGAAGCCCTGTCTGAATGGGGTGGACGGCCGAGCCTGGGCCCCTGTCAGCCTCCAGCCCCGAGCATCTTCGGCCTGTCCCCATCTCGCATGGCGCCCTCAGCCCCTCACGGCCCGGAGTCATCCAGGGTCTCGATCACAGGCTCCAGCTCACCGCTGAGGGCCACTCCTGTGTCCTGGGCCCCAGCCCCCTGCGAACAAACGCCTCCTGAGCCAGGGCCGCCCCGGCACCCTCGGGGACAGCCGTGGGCACGTGTGACAGGACCAGCTCCTCAGGCGCCCTTGGGACGCTCAAGGCAGCTGTGTCCTTGTCCACCCCGCCAGGGCCCCGGGGGGCAGCTGTGAACATCTGGGGTGAATCAGCTCCGACACCCATGTGCTGTCCACCTCCTCCTCGCTGCCCGGGGCCCCAGCGGGGTGGACAAGGGACCACCCTGACGCCCTCCTGCGCCTCCCCTGGGCCTCACCCTCTCAGGCACCCCCACCCCCGCGGCTTCAGACCCACGTCTGGCCGCCTGGAGTCTGGCTGGGCCGAGCTTGGGGCCCCATGGTGCTGGCCTTGCGGTGACGCTGAGGCCCTGTCCGGCCCTCGGGGTCCCGGCCCACTCCCCAGGGGCTCGCTTTGCTCCCCTCCCCCGCACTCACGCCTCCGCCTTTCCGTCTGTCCCGCCGCCTCTGGTCGGGGTTCGAGGATGAAGTGGGGGTGAGAGCCACAGCTGTGGCCACTGTGTGGGAGACGCCCTCTACCCTCTGCCTGCTCCGTGTCCCACAGGCCCTGCTGCGTGGGGGCCAGGGTGGTTGGGGCTGACCGGAAGCCCAGGGGCAAGGCCAGGAAACCCGCTGGGGTGGGTGAGGGTCACCCCAGCCGGGAGAGCCGCGCCCCACGTACCGTCCCAGCTGGCGCCGTGGCCTCTCCGCCGATGGCCATCAGGAATTCCGCCACGTCGCCCTTGGGAGCCGGCACAGGGGGCAGCACCTTGGCCCAGAGCGGGCACCTGCGGGCACCACGGACGCGTCCTGTGACGAGGAGGAAGCAGGCCCTGGGCCCCTCCCCCAGCCCGCGGGGCGCCTCACTGCAGCCTCCCTGACTCCACCCGCCTGGACCGCAGAGGACACTGAGTCTCAGAGCCCCGGGCACCCACAGGCAGCAGGCGGAGAAGAGCAGCAGACAGACGCCGGCAGCAGCCGCAGCCCCAACACGGAGCCAATCCCCAGGGGCTGTGAGCTCGTCGTGCCCTGGGGAGGGAAAAGGGGGGATGGTGTCAGGCCGGGCAGGGACACGCACCCTGGGAGCCCCCAATGTGCCCCCCGGCCCAGGACTCACGGCTTGTACCTCAGACCCACCCCAGACCCTACTCCAGACCCCACCCCACACCCAGCCCAGCCCCACCCCGGACCCCACCCCAGCCCCTGTACCCCAGACCTGTTCCCCAGAGCACCCCTGACCCGGAGGCCCCCGCTGTCCCTAAACAGCGTGACTGTGACTCTGCAAGGCAGCGGAAGGCAGGGCCTGGGCCTTGTGGCCAGCTGGCCAGAGCCACTCACCGGCCAGGACCGGCTGGCTCCAGGCCCCCCAGGCCCACGTGGTCCTGCAGGAGCCTTTCACGGCGGCGCGCACAAAGACTGAGACCCGGGACGCGCCGATGGTCGAGGTGAAGTTGGTGGCGTGCAGCCGCTCTGTCTGGGGAGAGACGGCACCCGGGGACCTGCGTGTCACCAGCAGGCCCTGCTGGGAGGGTCACCGGCACCGACCCGGGGCTCCTGAGCACTGGATTCAGCATTACTGTCACCAGTGCTGGGGGGGGGGGGGTGGAATCTGGGCAAGTCACTGAGGCAGAGCAGGTGCTACCCTTCCTCAGCAGACCTGAGGGCAGGGGGAGGGCTGGGGGGTGGAGGGCGGGGAGGGTGGGGGGAGGGTGGGGGAGAGCAGAAAGGGGAGGGGGAGGGGGGATGCAAGAATGATGGGGAAGGCAGGGGGGGCACGGGAAGAGCAAGGGAGGGCAGGGGAGGGCAGGGGAGTGGCGGGGAGGGCTGGGGCCGGGCAGTCCTACCGAGTAGGAGCTGATAGCCCCGTGGGTGGGGGGCACATGTCCAGCCGTGCCCCCACACTGGGCACTTCTCGGGCATCCCCGGATGTCTGGTGGCATCAGGCTCCTTCCCTGAGGCACCTGCCCACACAGGTGACCCCTCCCCGCCTCCGAAGCTGTCGCCCAGTCTAGGTACAGGCCCCCAGGACAGGGCAGGGGCAGCTGGCGGTCACCTGCACGCGGCCAGTTCGCGGGCTGAACACCCGCACTTGGTACTGGAAGCAGTGGGGGGGCAGGGCCGACAGCGGCTTCTTCCAGCACACGGACAGGCGCTGGCCATCCACCGTGGCCGTCAGGTTCTCGGGCGGGTTCACGCGGTCTGGGGGACAGAGGCCAAGATCAGCGGCTGCCGGGCCCAGCTGCTCCAGGATGCCCAGCCGTGCTGGCCAGCCGGGCCGGACAGACGGTCAGTGTTGGGGCCCAGTGGGCCGGGGGCCACAGGGGCACAGCACAGTACTGGGCAGGTCACAGGGTGGCCGGGAGGGAGCCCGAAGTCTCTGGACGCGGGGTGGGGACAGCAGGTCCTGAGTCACCTACCGCAGCCTCCTGGGCTTCAGGGGCCGAGGAGCTGAGTGGACACACCCCATGTCAGCCCCCAGCCCAGGGGCTGCTTGCTGACCTCTGAGGACCCCCATCCCCGTGGTCTGAGGGACACCTTTCCCGATGGCCTGGGGACGCTCTTACCGATGGCCGGCAGGCTGAAGAGCTGCTCCCAGGGCCGGATGTCCACCTGCGGGCTGGAGCCGCTGACCCTAACGGCCAGCTTCCCACGTGCCTTGGGGCTGAGGTGCGTCCTGGGCACGCTGCAGCCCACGTTCCTCCCCAGCGCATCTTGTTCGTAGCTGTGGCACTCCCAGGTGGTGGCCCCGTACCTGCCGGGGGACACTCGTGTCTGTGGGGTGGGGCCATGGCCACCTGCCCGGGGCCCGCAGTGGACACTGCTGACCTGTACTGCAGGAGGTACTGCAGCCCCACGGGGCCGTCCCCGCCTGGCCGCCAGGAGCACTGCAGGGCGACGCACAGAGTCGGCGACCAGGGGCACGGGTCCCTGTCCACCCACACCGCGGTGCTGCAGGTAAGGTTCGTGGCCGAGGTCCCAGGCGCACCTGCGGGACAGGACAGGGAGAGCTCGGAGCCACCCGCTGCACGGGACAGGTGTGAGCACACATGCAAGCATGTGAGTGTGCGTGTGTGCATGTGGACACACGTGTGATGTGTTTGGGCACGTGTGCCCACATGAGTCTGTGCGTGCCTATGTGCCTGAGTGCATGTGTGTTCACACACACACACGTATGTGCAAACTGTCCCTCCTGCCACCTCCTGTCCATGGCACCAGGCCCTGGGACTCGGGCTGGCTCCTCTGTTTCTCCATCCCGAGCAGACGGGGGTGCCCGTGGCATCATCTCAGGGGCCCTGAGGCATCTTCGTTCTGAGTGTGAGCGTCCAGCTGGCACCGGGTCCCCGGCAGATCAGTGACGCCCAGGCTTTCCTCGTGGTTCTCCTGTCCCCTCGTGTGGCTCGGGGCAGAACCCAGAGTCCTGTCATGCAGGGCCGGGACCCCGCAGCCCACTGACCGCGAGGACAGGCACATGGCTGGGAAGGGCCGGACGGGGAGGGAGAGGGAGCGTCCGGGGCAGGCCAGGGTGGACGGGGGCCACCCCCTGAGGGCTGGGGAAGAGCAGAGGGACACGTGCGTGAGGCCGGGAGCGCAAGGGCCTCGGGGGCACGGGCAAGGGGCAGGGGAGTGTGTGCGGGGGGCTGAGGAGACGCAGGGGACCCCCGCCCCACACTGTTTACCTGGAGGGGCTGCCAGGTCGGCGACCACCCAGGGGCTGGCGGGCAGGGAGGTGTGGCTGGCCCAGGACACAGTGCGAACGCCGGCCGTCAGGCCCTGGTGCAGAGGGATGTCATGGCTGATCTCCGTGTCCTCGATCTGGAACTGGGGGCAGACGCCACCCATGAGCCCGTCCGCCCCAGAGCGAGTGCCCCACCCTGTGGCTCACGAGCTGCCCACACCTCGGGGGAGGGGAGACACGCGCGGCTGAGCGTCTCTTGGCTCGTGCTGTGAGCTCGCGGCCCCCAAAACCAACAGCACGGGAGTCAGGCCCAACTCCCCAAACCCCTCTCCAAGGGGCTTTGTGGGAGGTTCTGAGTTCAAAGCTGGGAAGGGACCACCTGAGGGCATCTTCCTGCTGGATAGTGCCCTGCTGGGACCCTGGGGTGCAGATGCTTCCTCCTGACCCCCACACCCTGTCTGACCCCCACTTCCTGTCTGACCCCCACACCCTGTCTGACCCCCACTTCCTGCCTGATCCCTACTTCCTGCCTGACCTCCACTTCCTCCCTGACCCCCACTTCCTGCCTGACCCCCCACACCATGCCTGACCCCCACTTCCTGCCTGATCCCTACTTCCTGCCTGACCTCCACTTCCTCCCTGACCCCCACTTCCTGCCTGACCCCCCACACCATGCCTGACCCCCACTTCCTGCCTGACCCCCGCTTCCTGCTCGACCCCCACTTCCTGCTGGACCCCCACTTCCTGCCCGACCCCCACTTCCTGCCTGACCCCCACTTCCTGCCTCACCCCCCACACCATGCCTGACCCCCACTTCCTGCCTCACCCCCACTTCCTGCCTGATCCCCACCCCCCAGAGCTCCCAGGGCCCAGGCGCTCGCTGCTCCCTCTGTCCCCCGGGATGCTTCAAGGGCATAAGGCCCTACGCCCACAGGCCCCCAAGTGTACCCCAAGTCCCAGCTGACCGTTCAGTGCCCACTGAGGGCAGCTGGTAGCTCCCAGGCTGGCGGGAGGCGTGCCCGTCAGCTGGGTGCAGGACAGATGGCCCCAGGGGCAAGGGGGCTGCGGGCTGGTTTCTCTTTTGAAAGGACAACTCTGGGGGCCAGAGAGATAGGACGGTGGGAAGAGCTCTTGGCTTGCACCTGGCCAAACTGGGTTTGATCCACAGCACCCAGTGTGCTCCCCACCCCACCCCCCGCCCACCACAAGTCCCACCAGGAATTATTCCTGAGTGCAAAGGCAGGAGTAAGCCCTGAGCACTGCCAGGTGTGAAACCCCTCCCCCTGCTAGGGAGGGGGAAAAAAGCACCCTTTCTCCTTAAATAGTAACCGAACGAGAGGCCCACTGGGCTGGGCTGCTGCGGCCCACGGGAAACGAGCGTCACTCAGCACTTACTTCCTCGTCGTCGTCCTGCAGGTGGGGGACGCGCAGCCTCACGTGGTACCTGAGCTCCGCTCCCTCCTGAGCAGGGTCGGGCGCCCAGCGCAGGAGAATCCGAGCAAGGCCGGTGACGTGGATGGTGAGGTTGGCGGGCGGGAGGAGCGAGACTGTGGGCCGGGAGAGACGGACAGGCTCAGCCGCGTGGACTTGGCAGCAACCTCGGGACAGGGCTCATGTGCCCTGCTAAAGTCAGCTTGCGGGGATTTTCTTTCTGAGGGCTTTTAGCTCTGACCTTGCCTACGTGTTTCCCCTCCGTATCTGCGTTTTATGGAAACGTGGGTTTCCGCCCCATTAGCGTCCATTAGCGCGCAGTCCTAGCACGGAGTCTCTCGCCAATACAGTACAGTCGCTTATTAGCTTGTTATTAGCAATATTTTTCAGGGAGGTGGATGAAAACAGAAGAGAGGAAATCCAGGGGCACTAAATATACAAATGAACGCATGGTTTCCTAGGTCCTTTGCCCCACAGTTTCAATGTATGCGTATACTGATACAGAGCTTTCTGGCATAGAATTGATTCGCTTCTCCTGGTTCATGATAAAAAAAAAAATTGGAGGCCAGAGCAATAATACAGTGGGGAAGGCGTTTGTCTTGCACGCGGCTGACCTGGGTTCAATCCCGGCATCCCACATGGTCCCCCAAGCACTGCCAGGAGTGATTCCTAAGTGCAGAGCCAGGAGTGACCCCTGAGCATCGCTGGGTGTGACCCCCCCCAAAAAAAACTCTGCACTCAAGACCACTTCGGGACTAAGCTTAATCATTCAGAACCACCGCCTACCTTGGTTCAAAATACATGTTTAAATGTTTAAATTCCAAGATCCACACTTGTTCACTGCAGACAGTTTGGAGAGACTCAGTGAGCAAAAACCACATAGAATCAATCCTACCAGCCCCAGTTGCTTCTGGGCGCAAGGCCACAGCCTGTCCTGTGGGAATGGACGGACATCAGGGTGGCACTGGCTTTTGGACAAGACCTCCTTCCGCTCCCTGCACAGTGCTCCGGGTGCACCCAGGCACCTTTAATGCTCAGTGCCTCCCAGTCTCCACACAGGGACACCAGGACCTTCTTCCCGACCTCCTGGTGGTGGATGTCCCCACGGCAAGTCCAGGGGGTGCCTGCGACTCGCTCCCCCATTCCCGTGCTCTGGGCCATGGTCAGGGCCCTCGGGACAGCCTGTGACTCGTGGGGTTCCCAGGGGTGGGAGGTGGGGCAGGGGTGTGTGCTCGGCTGGGAGGGGGTCCAGCACCTCACCCTGCTGCCCGGCACTGGCGGGCCAATGGACGGGGACACATCATACAGACACCAGCCTCACTTCCTAAGCAGCAGCCTTCAGGAGGCAAGGTGCTCGCCTCGTCTCTCACAAAGTGCTCCCCGTCCTTGTGCGTGTGTGCTACAGGAGCTGACCCGGGCCCTGGAGCGCCCCTGAGCCCCCGGCCCAGTCCCCGTACTCACAGTTAGCATCCGGGAGGGAATGTGTCGACAGGGTCCCCAGAGCCCCCAAAAGAGCCAGGAGAGTGGAGGCCATCGTGGTCACCTTCTAGAGGACAGAGAGGGGCCGGGCGTCAGCTCCTCACCGTCTCAGGGCCACCGCCAGCCTGGCTCCGCAGGAAGGACGAGGCTCATGGGAACAGCACCATCACCTCTCCCAGACTTGGTGAGGGGCAGGGAGAAGCGGAGGCCCCAGGGTCAGTGCCAGGCTGACCTGTGGAGGCCAGGAGGCGGCTGTGGCTACTCGGCTGGCAGGAGACAGACCGGCGGGACCCTCCCCTGCACCCGCACGGCTGGATAACCCATCCCAGGGGCGGGCAGCGCTGGTGCTGGGCTGGCGCGTCCTTGCACTGGCACATCGTGCCTGCATGTTTCCGTGGCTGCCGGAACGTTGGACCCAGCCTGGGCTGACCAGAGGCCTGGACCTGGGCAGCCTCAGAGACCCGGGAGCAGCCCGGGCTGTTCACTGCCTGAGCAGGGGCAGGAGAGCAAGGGGAGCGTGTCCAGTGAGCCCTGCGATACCTGCCGCCATGCCCCCACAGGCACTTTTCACTGTGTTTCACTGGAAAGCGCTTCCCCTCCCCTACCCCCCCCCAACTCCACCTCCTCACCACCACCCCGCCTCCCCGTGAAGAGACTGCCAGTGGGCAAAGCGGGTGCCACACTGCAGCCCACTGGCCGCTGGACGGCTCAGGCCACTCCCCCTTCCCGCTGCTACCTCCCTCCTGGGCCCCAGGGACAGCCCCGCATGATTCTGGGAGAACCCCGGAGGACAGGCTGTGCTCTGCGGGGAGGGGCTCCTGGGACAGCCAGGAAACACCCTCCCTCGTGCCACCCTGAACTCGCTCTTAATTTACTGCCTAAGTCCTTTGTGACCACCGTAAAGTGCCGTGATGTCGGCTGCAGAGAGCGAATCTCCCCTTTGCAAAGGCACTTCCGTGGGCTTCTCCGCTCTGCTCATTTTTGATCAAGCACTTTGGGCTGGAGAGAGAAAACCAGGGCTAAGGGACTTGCCTTGCGTGTGGCCAGCCCTGGTTTAATCCCCGGCTCCCCATCAGGTCCCCAGAGCACTGCCGAGGGTTGTCCCTGAGCACAACGTGCTGTGGCTCCCACGCAAAAATCCACCAAGTAGTCCTGCCTGCCTGTTTCTCAACTTGGTGGCCTCACACCATGTACGAAAAGAACTTTAAAACGACGACAGGGGCCTAGAGACAGCCCAGGGGCTGAGCGTCTCCTTGCCCGTGACGGCCACCGGTTTGATCTCTGACACTGCCTATGCCAGGAGCAATCCCTGAGCGCCTCTGGGGGTGGCCCCAAGAAAATAAAAAGAAAGTCAGTTTTTGGGGCCAGAGAGATAGCACGGCAGATAGGCTGGCCTGGGTTCAATCCCAGCATCCCCTGGCCCAAAAAGAGGGAGGGAGGGCGGGAGGGAGGGAGAAAGGAAAATCAGTTGTTGTATTTCCGTCCAACACGATCTACTCATGCTCCAACAGGAGTTCAAACTTGCCCAAGGAGAGGGATTCTCCGCTAGCAGGTGTGTCCGCCAGGGTGCGACCAGGTGGGGCCGCCCGTGGCCCTCCAGGCTGGCAGGGCGCTCCAGCCCTAACACTGCGGGTGACAGGCGAGTGGCTGTGGCGGCCGAGACCCTTCGGGCCACTCAACCCACAGATCCTCTAGACACGGGCTCGAGCGGCCCAGAGCTCTGTGCGGGGAGCCCGGCGGCCTCGTCACCATAAGGAGCTGCTAGAGGGAGCGGACGGGGGCGGCTCAGGGCAGGCATCCACTTGCAGGCTTGGGACCCCTCGGACCGCACTCTGCCCCACGCACCTCCCGCCAGCCAGGGTAGCCTGGAGCCGCTCTCTGCGGCCACTGTGTGAGATCCCGGACAGGAGCAGCAAAGGGAGCGGGAGGGGAGCGGGAGGGGAGTGGTCAGCAGGCCGGCCAGCCTGGGAGGGCAGCGGTCAGCAGGCCAGCCTGGGAGGGCAGCGGTCAGCAGGCTGGCCAGCCCGGGGAGGGGTCTCTGGGCGGGCAGCTACCCGCGTGCCAGTCTGCCCCTGTCATCCCTCGAGTGCCGTCCCTTGATGCCGACTGGGCTTCCGCCGCTGCTCTCGTCCTTGGGCTGGCGGGAAAAGCGAGGCCACCATCTTCCGCACAGCTGACGCTTCTAGAAGGGAAAGTCGTGGCAGTGGGGCTGGTTTCCAGCCTCCTGAGACTCGCTGAGTCCCGACTGACACGGTTCCTTCCTCCTTCGCTTCCCGGGTACCTGCTTAATAGCGCAAACCATCAGACGGGCCTATTTTTAGTCCCTCTGAGTCAGCCGCGGTGACACGGTGACACCTCACCCAGAGGCAGCCTCACGCGGACCTGTGCAGTGCCGGGGGAGGGTGCGAGCTCTGCTTGGCCCTGCAGTGCGGGAGCAGATGTGTGGCTCCCCCACACATCCTTCAGGGATGGAGGATAGACAGGAGGGCCTGGGTGCGAGTGGCCCAGAAGAGGCTGCGGCCCCCCTCCCCCAAGGAAACAGGAGTGAGACCCTGACAGAGAATCAGGCAAGGTCAGAGCAGGAAGCGGCTCGGCCTTGCACCTCCCCCGTTGTGTGCTGCTACCCTGGCGCTTGGGATACGTTTTCTGGAATTTTCCAGAATGACCCTCTGCTCTCCGGCATGAGAGAGTCTGGCTGTGTGTGCGTGGCGGGGTGTCGTCCTCGCTCCGTGGCCCCTTTCTGGCAGGCCCATCTCTGTGTGCTCGTGTCTCTGATGGCGAGCACTCTGGGGGAGAGCCAGGCCCAAGCAGAGGGCAGGCTCGCTTGGGACCCTCACCACCGTCTGCTGCCCGGGCAGGTGCTGGCCAGGGCTGAGGGATTTTTGAGGTTGTAGCTTATGCTAATGTGTTGGATAACATTGGATTGTGCTTGCTCTTCCTACAGGGACTTAGGTGTATTGAGTTACTCCCGCAACAGTGCTCCAGAGGCACGCCCAGTTCCATTAGGCACTAATAATCCTATATGGCTTTTCTCTTTCCTCTATGTCCTTCGCAGGGTTTTAGCAGTGTCCTTTTCGTATAGACACAGGAAGACAGTTGATGCTATGCTTTTGTAAGATGGGAAGTTAATTGACTGAATAATATTCACTCCTGGGCACCCATCGTATTTACCTGACTTCAGCCTCAGTTCCCCTATTTCCTAACACCCCCACAAAGGAGGGTCCCAGCGAGGGACTTGGATGGACCCAGGGCAAGCTGTAAACGACCCTGGCATCGAAAGGGAACAAGTTAAGCACCATAAGAAATATAACAAGTAAAGAGCACGGTCACGGGACAAACTCTGTTATGACCCAAAATAGAAGTAACTGAATAAGGACCCTGCTGGGGTTAGGAAAGACTGACCTGGCCTGAGGACTGTGGTCTGGGATAAATGGTGAGATGCCCCCAGGAAGAGGCAACCTTTAAGCTTAGTATATCTCTTACTGTGTTCATATAAAATGACCAGAAATATTAGTAGCACTGTAGCACTGTCCTCCCGTTGTTCATCGATTTGCTCGAGCGGGCACCAGTAACGTCTCCATTGTGAGACTTGTTGTGGCTGTTTTTGGCATATCGAATACGCCACGGGGAGCTTGCCAGGCTCTGTCGTGTGTGGGGGATACTCTGGGTAGCTTGCCCAGCTCTCCGAGAGAGGCGGGGCAATCGAACCTGGGTCGGCCGTGTGCAAGGCGAACACCCTACCCGCTATATTCACGGTGATTGTTGAAATGCTTAGGAAGGAGAAAGCAATACGCCCTGGATGGGATCCCGCCCTTGAGCGGACCTCCTCGCAATCTGAAGTGCCGAACCCCCAGATGAGATTTTGTCCCTGAGCTTGTCTCCTAGAACTTCCCCTGAAGGAGTCGCTTTACTTCTGTTTGCTGTTATGATCATGTTCACCCGCACCTACGTGCACGCACCCTTCATGGTTTCTAATAACTGTGCTGTAACAGAGAAGGTGGGAGAATGAGGCCGTCAGGGTGAGGAAGAAAAGGAAACAGTCCCTGCTCCCACGCAGCCCGGGCCCCCCTTCCTCTTTTCCCTCATCCATCCGTCGCCGTGGGCCAGCTGGGGGACAGATCTCGGCCACTGAATGCCCATGTCCACGCGCCCACAGTTTCTGAGTGATGCCCCCGGCACTGGGCCTGAATCACCCCTGAATCTCACAGCATTTCCAGGGATGAAAACAAATGAGGTGATTTGAGTTTAAAAAAGAAAAGAAAAGAAAAGAAAGAAAGAAAGAAAGAAAGAGAAAAAAGAGAATACGGGCCTGGGGACGTGCGGGAAGGCACTCGGACCACCGGCCTGTGAGCCCCAGCGTCTGATCCCTCGGTCACAAACGTCCCGAGCTCCTGCAGGAGCAGCTCTGAGCAGGGGAGACTCCCACCCAGCACGGCCCTGCCCTCGGCTCTATTCGGCCTGCTGGGAACTGTCCATCAGTACCTATCAACTGTCCATCAGTCCCACAAGAGGGCTGACTCCAGCGCCTCTGCAGGGGTGGGACTGCAGGGGAGGGGTGGGGGGGGGGGGCAGCGCCTGGGTTCTGAGCCAGGCTCAGGGGCCCTGCCAGGCCTCTTTGTCCTTCCCCCCCTTCCTTTGTTCTGAATGTTTCATTCTCGTTTTCCTAGACACGTGGAGATACG